TACATTAACTAGCACTATAACTAGCACTATATTACAGATAAAGTAGTATGTAGAACAGTGTGGTAGCTCGGCCTTTGCACATATGTGCTCAAAAGTGCAAGCAGTTCACAAAACCCTGGCAGCAGAAGGGTTAATGTGACTATGTAGGACTAGACTGCAGTCCTGAGCGAAAGGAGACCTTCCTCAAAAAGATTACTCCTAGTGGTAGACCTACAATGGAGTCCCTAAACAGCTGTGCTAACACCAGCAAGGACTGGGAAGAAAACATGGATACAAATGTTGGGCCGTTTCCCAGGACAGCGGTGCCAAGAAACAGTAGGGTGACAACCATGTCCTAGCCCCCACAGACTAGTCCTCTGATATGGAATGTCACACATTGACATTTAGAGTAGCATTCAAAGAATGCAACAAAGCAATTTGTCGGGTATATGTCAAATCTCTATTCCTGCTACTGTTTATCTATGCCGATAGGACAAAGTCTAGGAAAGAACAGAACAACTTAACACGTCACCGGGAAGTGTACTTCTAGGACCTACTCCATTTAATAGCCTACAACTATGCTAACAAACAAGCACACCAATAGGAGTAAACCTGTAATAGATCCATACTTTACTTCTCCTTCATGCTTTCTAGGGCAAGGTTAGCTCACTTTGCAAAAAAGGTTTTGCACTATTGCATATACATGAATAAGCAGACACTCAATGGTTAGCAATAAAGTTTTGGATAGAAATGTGAAGGGCGAGAACCTCTCGGGATTTGATTGCAGAGGAGGTGAGAGCGAGGCGCTGGACCCAGTTTTATAGATGGTTGGTGGAGTGCATGTTTTGGGCCAATGGTTAGCCACAAAAATGGGGTTCTTCAGAGTCAAGGGGTCACCCAGTTAGTGAAACCCGTTAAGCCACCAGGGAGCACCAAACCCACGCTTTAAGAGTCCAGAACAGTATTTTATTGGTTCCACAATTATCAGATAGATGGCCAACGCGTTTTAGGGCTGAACAATCCCCCTTCATCAGAGCTAAAGCCAGGGGAGGAAACATTAATATAGAATTCAGCAGCCAGTCTGCTCATCCAGGTGCCAGCAGGATTGGACAGACTGGCAGGACCATTAACCATTTTCTACTCTATCCCAAAAACAAGATGAAGAAAGAAATGGGCTTTACATACACTTTAGTGTGAAAGGTTTTAAGTCATTACAGAATAACCTTCAAGGCACCTAGATCTATAAATAAGGGTCAATGTCAAAAGGACCCGAAAAGTTGTATCTCCATCCAACTCCGAGCATGTTATGGTTTCAGTGGACCTTCAAGCTCCATGGCTTCCCAACTCTGAA